CATAATTTTTGTATTATATAATAATAGAGATATTATTTTTTCAGATTCCATTTAATTAACTAAAGATAAGTCTTGATTCTGAAGCTTTTTTTCTTTGTTTCTCTATTTTATTTTATTATTAATCTTTTGCTTATTTTCTGAATCTAAAAAGTTATTAATCTTCTTATCCTTCAATAATTTAGTTTCTGTGCAGATAGATGATGTAGAGTCTTGAGTTTTCAATTCCTAATATATATTAGAATTAGATGCACTATCAGATATATTTTCTGATTCTTTAGGAACATCTCTCTAAGATATATACTTGGGAGTTATAGATGTAATGTTAGTAGTTATAGAGCTATTTATTTTATATGAGACAAAGTTTCTTTGTTAGAGTAATCTTTAATAAGTAAAGAAGTTACTTGTAATTCTGAATAATCTAAGAAGTTGGAGATTTGGCAACTATAGTTGTCCTATATATTAGTAATTGCTTGGATTTGCTTTTTGATTTCCTTGAAATTATATTTCAATTTAGTTACTTTGGCTTTAAGCTGAGTATTCTCTTCCATAGCATATTCTAATTCTGCAATTCTAGTCTCAAGCTCTTTTTTTTCTTTTGTAATATGTTCTAATTCTGCAATTCTAGTCATAAGTCTGGCATTTTCTTGTTTCAATAATTCTAGTTTATATCCTATTGTTTTATATAAGATGCAGATATGTTCAAAATTTATACATATCTATCTTCAGATACTTATTATTATAATTATCAGATTAAATATTATGTATAGAAAACCATGACAAAATATTGTGATAATAAAAATTTCAGTGAAGTGGACATAGTCAAAAAATTCTTGATCATATATAGATATTAATATTTATATAATATAATAAAATCTAAAAATAATATATATAAAGAGTAAATGTGATTATGTATGTGAAATTTGACCCACATATAGCAGACATATGTTAAATATAAAGTCTGAAATGTGACAAACTTTATTTTTTTTAGAACATGAAAAATATAATATATTTACAATAAGGGGAATAATTGAATTAAAAGCCCTGACAAAATCATTATTACTCCTATTACTAAGATACTAATGTTATTTCTTTTAATCCTACTTTTATTAATAAAGTTGAAGTTCATAATTCTATTATATAAATTTAAGCTAGTCAAATATATTACACAGTTTCAATCTTTTCTAGCCAATTATCATTTGCAAATCACTGAAATTTTAAACTTTATTAAGATGTATTATATATAAAAAATAAATATATATTAATTAGTTATAAATAATCACCTTTCTAAATATATCTTTTACCCAATCAAGAGCAACTGAAATAGTTGGTTGATTATCTGGATTATCATTATATAAATCCATGCTAAAGCTTAAAAGTTCTTGAGGAATATCTCTGACATTACATGAACTGACTAAATTTCCAATATCTCATATATCAGCCTTAAAATTATACTTTTTAATTAGTATTTCAGAGCATAATCAATTTCAGAAAATTCTTTCAAAGGCTCATCAGAAGGGGAAAAGTTAGCATAGTTAAAGTCGATTAAAATGAATCTTTAATATCCATCATAATAGTGAATAATATTTAGCCATCGAATATCTCTGTACATTATCAGTCTGGACTTAATTTCATGCATATTCTGTTTGAATATTATAAAAATATATAAATATAATATAATATGTAATAGTAAAAATATTATATTTATATCAAACTTCACCTTCAAACAAGTTAGTATACAAATTAATGCTTGCAGTAATTCTTTGAGATCATTTAGTTCTTGTTATTCTTTATGTGATAACAAATTAATAGAATATATAGATGAATATTCTAATTTATTGGAAAATCTAATATTATTTGCCTACATAAATAATTGGAAATAAATAATTAGGGTGTATCCTAAAAAAGATATAATTTTTAAACTTATATGTAATATTCCATAAATTTCTTTTAAATATGTAACTTGTTCTTTGTCTGCAAATTTTTTCTTAATTGTATATCCAAGTTCAATAATAGTTCCATTTGGTCAAATTATTATTTGAAATTCTGGCAAATCTCTAGTAAGGCATAAATTCACTATAATAGATAATATATAACCTAAATAACCATATAATAAATTAGTACTTTGTAATAATAATTTAAAGCTCAAATAGAACTTACAAATATTTTGAAGAAAATTCATAATATAAATTCTATCTGGCAAATACTCTAAATTAAATTCTGCAATCTATTCAAAATAAATACTTGGTTTTCTCTTTTTAGTTGACTTATTTTCAGGCTTATACAAAATAACAAATGTGACATGAGTATCAACAGCATAATATACAAAGATATATGGTGCATCTTTATAGATTTAATCATTAAATTTATCCACTAATTCTCTTGAAGGATCTCCTACTTCTTCATGAGACTTTTCTTTATCTTGAAAAAGATAAGTATTTCTCACTAATACTATCATATCTGGATGATTGCAACCTATGAATTTTTTATTAATATATATTATACTTATCAATTATACTATTTAATTTACCTGTTGAATTACAATCAAATTTCAATATTGGCAAACTCATGTTATACTTTTCAAATATCTCTAACATATTTTTAATAATACTATTCCACAAATTATAATATGAGTCTTCAGTTATTCTATATAAAGAAGAGTAAATTAACTGCTCTAAAAGTTTTACAAAAAGAAATATACACTCTGCTTCTATACTTAATATAAAATATATATCTCATTCTTCTTCAGTTATATCATCTGGACCTGTAGTACTAATTTAGTAAAATGATCAGGAGAAAGCAGTATTTTTACTGAAGGATTTTTATTAAGAAAATTTGTCAAGTCAGATTTATGAGAAAGTTGATTGGGATTTTGAATTAATTGCTTTATTATTTCAATAGAAATATCTATAATAATGAAGTATTGTAAGAATATCAGAATAAGAGTGAAGTGGAAAAAAAGAAAAATTAGGAAAATTAGAACTTATCTTTCAGTATTACTAATATGGTGGAGATAGTACATATAAGTTGATTATTTTTTTTTGCATTTAATAGCAGTAAAAAAAAAACAATAGATAGTTATTTCCATGTTTCTTAAGAATATAATGCCTTTTGTGAGTAGGGGTACATAAATTAACAAATCTTAAAGCTTTTGCTCTAATGTAAATATTTTCTGCAACTCTTCCATCTGCTTTCTACACATCCTGACATCATCCTTCAGTCTCTTCTTCTCCATAGCCAGCTTGTTCTTTTCTTCTTTCCATTCTTGCTGCTATACTGCAGTTCCTTTTCCTTTCTGCAATTTCATTTTTAATTTATTTATATGTAATTAGGATTTAAGTATTAAATAATAGCATATAAGAGATTTTTTATAATATATTTAATGTATTTATTTTGTAATTAGTATAAGAATTTAGATATTAGATAGCAAAGAAGTAATATATTTTAATATATTTAAAATTATATAATCATAAAATTCAGAAATTTAAACTTTAAAATTTAAGTATTATCTAAATCAAATATAATATAATATATTTATCTAGATTTTTTAGATTTTAATTACTTGATAGTATATAAAAGAAATAATATTTAAATATTATTTATATTAAAAATATATTTATTAAAATAATAAATCAGCTTAAATGATTTATATTAACTTAATTTTTTTTAAATATGATCAGATCAAGCTAAATAATATTACATAAATTGAAATTGACAGATTGAAAGTGTCAGTATCAATTAGCAATATCATATAATTCAAACTTTTAGAGATTAATTTGGCAAACTCAAATAATTTATTAATAATTTAGTAATACTTCAGAAATAATTTAAAAATAAATTTCATATATTTTTCTTTATTATCTTTTCTTTATAAAATATCTATTTTAATTATTAGTTATCTTTTTATTTTAATTTTATTATTTATATTATTTTTTAACTTATTATATATATTTTATCTTTTTATTTTATTTATTCATTTATAGTTCTTTATTTTAAAACTTATAATTATATATTAGATTAATAAATAAATTATGAGTAAAATTTAGATAAAATTTATATAATCTTAAAAATATATAAATATCTTTGCACTTAAATATAAAATAATGATACTTGAATATTAATAATTTTTTTATTTTTAATAATACTTAAATTATACTTATCTTATAATTATATTTATTTCTTTATTTTGATACTTACTTTTTTTATTGTAATAAATTATATTTTGATTAATTATATATTTTTCTTGTCTATAAAAGATAGATAGTAAATATTCTCTACTTAAAATAAATCAAATATACTTTATTTGATTTTACAAAATTCTTATAAGCTTTTTTATATATAAAAACTTTAATTATTTTTGATATATATTCTTTATTATTTAATATTACAACTATTTTTATAAAAATAGATTTTACCAGAAATATAATTTATAATAAGTTTTGAGAATAAAGACTAAATTCTTTATAAAAATAAAGAGAATTACAATTATTCTAAAGATTTTTTAATACTAATACTTACAAGTATTATATTAATATAAGACAAAAATAAAATAAAATCAAGAAAAAAATTATAATTATAAAACTAAACTAAGGGTAAATATTTAAAACTAAAGTAATAAAACTATAACTAAATTCTCTTATAATATCTTTTCAATAGTTAGATAAATAAAGAATATATATCAAAGTAAAATAAAGCTTTTATATATAAAAAACTCACAAGAATCTTTATAAATCAAATAAAATATACTTGACTTATTTTAAGTGAAGAATATTTACTACATATTTTTTTTAAACAAGAAAAATATATAATTAATCAAAATTACAAGATAAGTATAACTCAAGTATTTTCAAGAATAATTGAATTATTACTATTCAGATACATTTATTTTATATTTAAAGGCAGAGATATTTATATATCTTTGAGATTTTACAGATTCTATCTAAATTTTACTCATAATTTATTTGCTATTCTAGTATATAATTATAAGTTTTAAAATAAAAGATCAATAAATAAATAAGTAAAATAATAAGATAAAATATATATAGTAAATTAAAAAATAATATAAATGATAAAATAAAAATAAAAAGATAAGATAGATATTTTAAAAAGAAAAGATAATAAAGAAAAATAAATAAAATTTATTACTAAATTATTTCTAAAGCATTTTTAAACTATTAATAATTATTTATAAATTATTATTAACTTTTAAGTTATTTATATATTATAATCTTGAAATATTACTAAAGCATTACAGAAATATTGCTAAACTATGAACTATAACTAAATTCATAATTAATATACTAATTAAATTATTCAAAATTATATATTTCTAAAAGATTAATTAATTGACTAAAAATTTGAAGTTTAAAAAATTATGAAATTAAAGAAATTAATATTACTATAATAATATTTGATCTCTCTAAGTAAGATTGAACTCTAGCAAAACTGATTAAATTCTTTTCAAATTTCTTTAATTTTATTATTTTTAATATATATGAAATTATTATAAGTAATTTATTAGAAATAATAAATCTTTCCAAGTTTATATTTTGATAATAGCTAGTAAATTTATTTTTCAAGAAGAAAATCAAAGTAATTCTTTTTGTTTAAGCTAATTTTCTTTATAATTCTATTAACTTTCAAGAATACTATCTTGGAATTTCTTTAAGTAATTTTCTAAAGTAATAATATCTAATAAATTATAATTTATCAGATTAATTATCATAATTTTCAAATAAATTATTAAAGATTATCTGAACTCTTATCTTTTAGCTTTGATCAGATCAAAATTAATAAGTAATATTAGTTATAATTATTATTCTTAAAATTTCAGTATTAATAATATTTACAAATTATTTTACTTTTGTTTTATCATGTAATTTATCTACTTGAGTTAGAGTTTCTTTTACAATTAGTTTTGATTCTTGAGATATTTTCAAAATTATATTAGAATTGAGTTGTCATCTAGTAATAAAATTATAAATAACTTTTTGATTACTATCTTTAAGTATTAATTAATTTTTATTAATTCTATTAAATTTATTATCTTTTAAATATTGATGAAGAACAAGAATATTTTGAATAAAATTGAATTTATTAAAAAAAGTATTTATCTTTTAAAGAATTAAATACTAATAAAAAATTAAGCTAAATAATAAGAGTATTAAAATAATTAAAAGTGATAAAAGTTTAAAGAAAATATTAAAGTAAAAATTCTATATTTATAAAATAAAATTTTTAATAAAAGATCAGCATATATATATACATGTACTACTAAATAAAAATTAAGAAAAAATAAATAAATATTATAAAACTAAAAATCTAATTTTTGTTTTTTTTCTATTAATAATACTTTTATATTATTATCATAGTAATATAAATTTCTTTAATTTTATAATTTTACAAACTTGAAATTTTTGACTAATTAATTGATTTTTAAAAAATATGTAATCTTGAATAATTTAATTAATATATCAATTATGAATTTAATTATAAATTAGCAATATTTCTGTAATACTTTAGTAATATTTCAAGATTATAAGTATATAATTAGCTTAAAAATCAATAATAGTTCACAAATAGTTCATTAATAATTTAGAAATACTTCAGAAATAATTCAATAACAAATTTAATTTATTTTTATTTATTATCTTTTCTTTTTAGAATATTTATCTTATCTTTTCATTTTATTTCATTATTTATATTATTATTTAGCTTATCACATATATCTTATTTCTTTATTTATTTATTTGTTTATTGATTCTTTATCTCAAAACTTGTAATTATATATTAAAGTAGCAAATAAGTTATAAGTAGAGTTTAAATAGAATCTGTAAAATCTCAAAGATATATAAATATTTCTGCTTTTAAATATAAAATAAATATACTTGAATAATAATAATTTAATTATTCTTAAAAATACTTGATTTATACTTATCTTATAATTTTTCTTTAATTTTTACTTGATATTCTGCTTTTAATTATCTTTTCTATTATAATAAATTATATTCTGATTAATCACATATTTTCTTGTCTAAAAAATATAAGTAGCAGATTCTCTTAAAATAAGTCAAGTATATTTTATTTTGATTTACAAAGATTCTTATAAGCTTTTTTATATATATGATAGTTATTATAAATATTCAGAATTTTTGATATAATATATAGAATAATGAAAAATTATCAAAATTATCTGATAATTTAGATATATATTCTTTATAATTTATAAAATAAGTTTGATTTAAATATTTTACAGATTTATTATCAATTATTTTTAATTATTATTATTCTTTTCTTAGTAAAATTTATTGTAAAAAAATAAATCAGATCTAATAAAGATTGAGTTTATATTATTAAAATTAGCTCACCAAAATGCTTACTAAATTTGGTAAAAAAATTATTATAATAATTTTTAACAAGTTGATAAAGAATAAATTTTAACTAAAATAAGTAAATTTTTATCTCTCTCTATACATCATATAAATTTTTAACTTGATTTCTGTTAATTCTTAATCAATTAATTAATCTTTCTAATCTTTTCTTCTTAATAGCCAATTTTTTATTTAAATTTTCTTTTTCTAATTACTTAAAAATAATA